GTAACGAAATATGTATTTATTCAAGAATTGTTTTGATTGAACTAAATTTTAATATTTTGATTGTCTTTATAGGTATTCATGGATGAAGAAGTATGAATACATGTAGATCTCGAAATCGGATGGAAATTAGCTTTCGAGTTGTGATATTTGTGTTCACGTAATGCGTTTTTTGGTGCTTTGTTTTTTTTGGAGAAGGAGTTTTAGAATGGTGTTTATGCATATGTCTGTGATAGATTGTCATTGTATACTTATAATTGTATGTAATTGTTTAATAATTAGACATAATTGTATGTAATTGTTTAGCAAGTAGAGTTCCCCTCTTACAATGTGTTATTGTGATGTTGAATAGTGTCACAATAATTAATCTAATGGGAATTGAGAACTAATACTCCTCCTTCCCTAAATAGTTATCACTTTTGCCATTTTCTTATGTTTCAAATTATTTGTCACTTTACTCTTCGAATGAATCATTAATTGTAATTTTTTCAATATTGCCCTATCTCACTCATAATTTATTTACATATAATTAGTTAAAAATCAATTGATAGTATGGGCATTGTAGTGATTTGCTATACTTTTTATTATAATCCATGTATATTTATTGTGTTTCTACTGTGTGTGCAACTAATAAAAGTGACAACTATTAATAAAAGGAGGGAGTATTATTTTAGTGCATATTAAATACAGATCAAATACATGCATACAACTTTACGATAGAGCAAATGAAAGGTAAATTTACGATAAAGCATGTTGATAAGCTATATCAAGCACCAATAGAAAAGGAAAGGAAATTGCGTTGATTTTGAAGCTACGATTTTGATCAATTTAAAGATTTTGAATTACAAAAGTTTAGTGTTGCAAATTTCATTCCAAATCCATATCCACGAAGGTTTGTACATGGATTTTTTTTTTAATTAATTGGTTTAGATAAGATGAGATTTCAAACCAAACGAGAAATAAGAGGAGGTCAAATTTTCTTGTTAAAGCTACCTAACCTGCTGCATGTTCTGATTTTTCGAAATTTACAGTTTACTCCAAATTTTCAAAATTTTCATTTTAGTCCGAGTTTGAAAATTTTACAATTTAGTCCAAATATTTAATAGAATTTGCAGGTTTGTTCCATTCAGCATCTGGAATTATAATTATATTTCAGTATTTTCAGTTGTCATTGTTTTTTATAAATCGCAGCAGTGACCCTAAAGTTTTCAAAGTTTATAATTTGGTCCCTAGACTTTCCAATTTTGAAATTTGATCCTTTAATTTCAGAATCTGTTACAGAATAACTTTATCCTCAAACAAAGTTCTTTCTCAGTTTGATAAATTACTATATCACATGATTTGTTTCCTATTTCTACAATGAAGTATGTTGAGTTCATAATGGGAGAAATGTCTATGGCTTATGTAGTCAATTGACTTTTGATGAGACAATTTTCCGTCGTTAGGGGAGATTGTATAACGGCGTGAAATCATGTAAAGTGATCTTTGTCTTATTTAGATTTGTGCATAGAAATATTTAGCACAAAAGAAAAAGTATTCATTTGTAACAATTTTAATACGAAAAATGCCAAATGTATTTATCGACAAAAATGGCAACTTGAAGTTATACATATGAAGCAAATGAATGCAAGAGAAAATTTCTAAGAAGGGCACATTTCACATCGTGATTGCATCATGAATTCCCTACAAAGGTGAATAATGATCAAGGTTGTAAAAAGCGGTAATTGGGTCGGAGGCGGTCAGGGACCAACTCACGATTAATCGGTGCGGCGGTGATTAATCGGTGATAAATCGGAAATAAATCGGTTTTTTAAAATTAATATAATATATTTCTAGATATTATTTATAAATACTAAAAAAATATATAAAAAGATATTTAAACACAGTTATATCTCTATCACGTATATATCTTAATAAAATAATAAAAGTTTAATAATAATAATAAGATCATAATACATAAATATCATTATAAAATATAAATAAAAAAGTATTTTTTTTTTGAATTTACCTTTATTCTTGAACATTCCTAACAATACATTATTAGTTCTTTAACAACAACAATTAACATAAAATAAAATAAAACATTAGCTCATATTTTTGTTATTAAATCCCAACTTTTATTTTGAATTATAAAAAAATATATAAAAAACCGATTTTGATCGA